TTATGGTTTGCCTCCTTCCCTAACTTTTTTTCCCTTCCCCTCCCCCATGGTCTTCTGTTAAGTTTCTCAGGATCTACATAAGAGTGAAAACATATGGTATCTGTCTTTCTCTGTATGACTTATTTCACTTAGCAAAACACTCTAAAGTTCCATACACATTGCTAAAAAAAGGCCATATTTCATTCTTTCTCATTGCCAAGTAGTATTCCATTGTATATATAAACCACAACTTCCTTATCCATTCATCACTTGATGGACATTTAGGCTCTTTCCATAATTTGGCTATTGTTGAAAGTGCTGCTATAAACATTGCAAACTGGTGCAGCCGTTCTGAAAAACAGTATGGAGTTTCCTCAAAAAATTAAAAATAGACCTACCCTATGACCCAGCAATAGCACTGCTAGGAATTTACCCAAGGGATACAGGAGTGCTGATGCATAGGGGCACTTGCACCCCAATGTTTATAAGGAAAAAATGGATTTGAATGACACCTTCAACCAAATGTACCTAAAATAGGTACAGAATATTCCATCCAGCAGCAGCAGAATACATATACTTCTAAGTTTACATAAAATATTCTCCAGGATAGATCACAGGTCAGAAAATGTCTTAAAATTTAAGAATATTTAAATTATATCAACTATCTTTCTACCACAACAGCTGAAACTAGAAATCAATAACAGGAAGAAACCTGAAAAATTTGCAAATATGTGGAGATAAAATATGTTTCTGAACAACATAGAAGAAATCAAACATGAAATAAATATATATTGAACCAAACAAAAATGGAAGCACTACATATCAAAATATAGGAAATGCTGCAAAAGCAGTTCTAAGAGAAAAATTTATAGTGATAAAGGCCTAGATTAAGAAATAAGAAAGATCTCAAATAAACAACTTCAAGGAATTAAAAATATACTATGCCCAAAGTTGGCAGAAGAAAGGAAATAACAAAGATCAGAGTAAAAACAAAGTAGAGACCAGAAAAACAATAGAAAAGATCAATGAAACTAAGAGCTAGTTCTTCTTTTATTAAAAAAAAAATAATGTTTATTTTTTAATGTTTTATTTATTTATTTGTGTTTGTGTGTGTGTGTGTGTGTGTGTGTGTGTGTGAGAGAGAGAGAGAGAGAGAGAGAGAGAGAGAGAGAGAGAGAGAGAATGTTGGGAATATATATATATATATATATATATATATATGCCAAAAAAAAGAATGAAATCTTGTCATTTGCAAGGATGTAGATAGAGCTAGAGTGTATTATGCTAAGGAAAGTAAGTCAGAGAAAGACAAATACTATATGATTTCACTCATAAGTGGTGGAATTTAAGAAACAAAACTGATAAACATAGAGGAACAAAACAGAGAGGCAAACCATAAAAAAGACTGTTAACTATAGAGAACAAACTGAGGGTTCCTGGAGGGGAGGAGGGCAGGGAGAGTGGTTAAATATGTGATGGGTATTAAGGAGGGCACTTTCTGTGTTGAGTAATGGGTGTTGTATGTAAGTGATGAATTACTAAGTTCTACTCTTGAAATTAATATTACACTATATGTTAACTAACTGGAATTTAAATAAAAACTTGAAGTAAAAAAGAAGTGGATAAAATAATACAGCAAATGGATTTTTTTTCAACACACAAAAAACATCATTAACAAGTTTTGAAAACAAGCAGACAAAAAGAAGCAGCTTTGGTAAGTATCAGAACTACCAATGTATACCACATATTTTAAAGTTGTATTGGTTTCTTATTTTATAGCAAATACAAATGCAGTGCCGACCTTAATATTTAGAGCCAAGGTTTTACTAGTTTCATCCCTCCAAAACATCAGTTGTCCTGGACTTGGAAGAAAGCAACCCCCACAAAAAATATTTTAATGCCCTTGTATTAAATCCAATCACTTCTCTTAGCTTTTTCAAGGAGGATTTCTTGGCCTCCTCTTTAATATAATTACTAAAAGTTTTGGCTATCTGGTTTTCTAAGAATCAATAGGATATAAAAAAAAAACTGTAAGCAGGAGAGGCTGCAATTCACACTGAGCATCGAGACACAAAAAGAAAAATAGGAACATAGAATTAACATAATGAATGTTCTTCATGATGATCATAAAGTCACCAAGAGACTATTTTCTTTCAAAATTTGTATTTAAGATTATAAGAAACAATGCAATACATTTTAAAAAGGACTTTATTCTCAGAGTTATAATTTAAAAGACTTTAACACTTGAAAAAAATAAAGTTCATGTACTTAGAACTTCCATCCCTCATGGCCCAATGAAATCAGATTCATGAGGAGTTAATAAAACAGAATTAGTCTATATTTCCAGTCTGGAGTGAAAAACAAAAAGAGCTTCATTGGCCAAGTTTCTAAGGACATATTTGTCTAGGTCTGTAGCCCTCAGCCCCAGGAATTACTGTTGAAAATGCTGACAGACGGAAAGACTCAGTGTATTAAGATAATCAACTCTGCAAAAATAATTAGGAACATACTTCCAAGAATATGGGATAGTAGCCAAGTATAAAACAACAACACAAAAGATACCACCAAATAATAAGAGATCTTGTGTAATACTTAAATATTTCAAGGCTAAGAGGATCACTTTTAATAATAATATTCTCTGAATGAAATGGAGTTTTAAAATCAAAAGAAGTTTAATACAGTTGAGGAACACAGTTTGGTGACTAAGAAATAAGACTGCCAAGATGGGAGGAGGCTGGGTTACAATGGGCCTTATAAAATCATGTAAAGGAATTTGGACATTAGTCTAGGGACAATAGGAAGCAATTAAATGACTTTAAACAGAATAGCTATGACTCAACATGCATTGTAGAAAAAATATTGGCTACAGAGTAGAGGTTAGTTTGGGTGGGAGCAAGACGTTAGGAAGTAGGACCAACTAGAGGCTCTTTTTTTAATTTTTTTTAAATGTTTATTTATTATTGAGAGACAGAGAGAGACAGAGCATGAGCAGGGGAGGGGCAGAGAGAAGAGGAGACACAGAATCTGAAGCAGGCTCCAGGCTCTGAGCTGTCAGCACAGAGCCGGATGCGGGGCTTGAACTCACGAATAGTGAGATCATGACCTGAGCCAAAGTCAGACGCTTAACTGACTGAGCCACCCAGGTGCCCCAGACCAACTAGAGACTCTTACAGTAGTCCAAATAGAAGACAATATTGGGCTAAACTAGGGTGGTAGCAGAAAAGTTAGAGGAAAGTAAATGAATCCAAAGATGTGGGAGGTCGAAATTGCATATCTTGATGAATAATTCAATATAGAAAGTGAAGGGTAGAAAAGTGGCAAAGATGATTCCAAGTTTCTGGCTTGAGCAATGGGGTGCATAGTAGTGTTATTGACTAAAATAAGGGAACTGGAAGAGGAGCATATCATGTTTGTTTGTTTGTTTGTTTGTTGCTTTGTTATTGTTAAGAGTGGGGGAGAGAGATGGAGATGATGAGACTACTTTGGACATACTTAGTTCAAGGAGTTTATGGAACAGCCAAGTGGACATGTCCAATAAATAAATATAGAGGTCTGACATTCAAGAGAAATTAGGAGTGACAATTAAGAGTCATAGGCATATGTAGAAGGTTATGATGTCATGGAGATAAATTAAATCACTCAGAGTCTGTATGGTAAGAACACCTAAAACAAAATAAAGAAAAACATCAACACATTAGTGATGAACAAAGGAAAAGAAGATTACCAAAAAGACTACAAAAGATCTTTATATCACAAAAGCTTTTAATACAGCTGTGTAATATTGTGGAAAATACTATAGAAAGCATAGCCATAAAAGTATGAAAAAAAATAGGTGTATTATTTACTGTTGGTACTATGTCCAGCCCTCTTTTACTGGACCAGTGAAACTGTCCCTCTGCTACTTCAAGTATTAACATTGGCTGAAGGAAATCACCTCACCTGAAAATACTGGGGAGGTTATGCCTTCCTCCAGGCAGCCCACGGGCAATGGCTGATTAAGAAGTGTCTACAGAAGTCCAGGCCCCTTGCCTGAATGCAGGCCAAATCTGTAGTGCCATTCATTCCCATGGGTCAAATGGAGGCTATACTTCAAATGAAATCACATCTTTCCTTTACTTTTTTCCCTTCCCGACCTTGCTTTCCTTGCTTCCTTACAAGTTTCTCTGAGCACACTCTCTATAAATTATATGCTTTTGAATCCTTGTCTCAGGCCCTGATTCTAGAGAACTTAATCTAAGAAACGGAAATTGTCTCTGAAGTAAAAGAAGGAATTATTCTTAAACCACTTATTTCTATTTTATGCATATGTGTGTGTGTGTGTGTGTGTGTGTGTGTGTGTGTTATTTCACAAGAAAAGGGAGTTAAAGAGGGAGGGAAGAATCAACAAGTTTGAATGTTGCTACATGATACTAAAAAAAGTTACAATGTTGAATAATATAAGAACAGACAAATGTTCATTTTAGTAACAGAGCCAACATTGGCCACCTTGGTTGCAGATATTGCATTAGAGTCGTGGGGTTGGAAGTCAGAGTGCAGCAGTGGAAGAATGGATGAGAGGGGAGTATGTAAAGGGTAAAAAAAACTACTTCTTCAAGAAGTACAACTGGAAAGAGGAGAAAGGATTTAAGGCACTATTTGGAGGGAGGATTTTAAAACTTAACATGGGAGATTCTTGACCACATTTAAATGATAATGGGACATTAGCCAATGGGACAGAGCCAATAAAAAGGGACAAGATCTAACAGAGAAAAGAGACAACTGAATGCAAATGGTTGGAGAGAACTGCTCTTAAGATGTTACAGGGGGAATTTAAACACGGGCCAGAGAGTTGCTCAAAAAGACCTTTGAGATCTATTTCTACCTTGAGAGTCTGAGATGAAGATGTTTTTTAAAATACAGTGTAATGTCTTAGCATCAGGAACAGGAGTACCTAAGTTCATCTGAGAAAAAAATCAAAAGTTTTGGTCTAAGGCAAGAATTTATCACAGTTTTCTTTTGTTCTAGGAGTTAAACATTCTTACCCGCCAATATCCTGCTTCACAAAGTCCCCAGGTTCTTGTCGTCTTGATTCCCCTTGGCCAGTTGTTCCAGGAAAAGTATTAATCAGGAAAAGAAGCCCAAGGCTGCTTGTGTAGAAGTGACTCATTTGTGTAACTATCATCTTCTTAGGCACCAACTTGGAGAGACCTGTGAGATTCACGTTCAGGGAAAAGAGGAAGGAGAAGGGGTAGAAGACAAAAAAGAAACCGGGAAAAAATATTTTATTCAACTCTATTAGAGCCATTTAACTTCCCTAGTATCCAGTTACTAAATGATTACTGAGACAATTCCCTTTCCCCAGTTCATCAATGCCACCAAAATTTACTCCCAACATACTGCTTTCTTGAATATTCCAAAGTCCATTCAAGAAAGAGTAAAGAGCTCTAAATCAGTAATTTGGAGTCATAGGTTAGTTTCATCTCTTTCCCTGTCTTCTCTCAGCTGCAGTTACTTTTTTCATAATTCAAGAGTTTAAAATAATCCTCCATGTCTTCATTTTCCTCCAATGCCTTTGCCATAGTTAACAAAATGTGTAACATTGTAGGTGATATTAGAATTTTAAGACCTGAAATCTCTTTATAGCATTTTTGGGAGTGATTCTCATTTGATAAAATTAAGCAACTTTCCAAAGTATCAAAGGGCTTGGAGTAGATGAACTGTTTCCTCTGAATCAGGTTTAGAAAATGATGAATGATGAAACACCATGGCTCTTGAATAGAAATGTAATGTTTCCCCATAAAGAGATATTTGAGAGCAAAGTCAGCCCCATATAGAAGCCACAACATAAAGAAGAAATCCAAGCATGTCCTCTTGGTACAGAAGACCCTTAAAAAGGTAAGAAAATTATAGTGATTATAGAATTATGTTATTTAGAGTTGCCTATGTGCAAGGCTATTTTATGAACTCTGGACTGGTGGGTGTTTACCTAAGACATGGGGTTTGAAAACAGTGTAAAGTGGCACTTTCTTGCCATCTATGAACCTTATGGCTTGAGTCTAAGACACCAACCACTTGAATGATACCTAATTCTGATCCAATATCATACTCTTTTTAAATCCTATCAGTGGTTTCACTTCCAGTGAGAATAGAAGGATATAAAACTATTTTTCCAAGGAAAGTTTATGCAAGGGACTAATATGTAAAACAGATACTTAGTGGAGAGCTATTGTGGTTGATAAGAAGATAAAGAACAAGTCTTTTTAAATTTATCCCACCCCCCAAAAAACAGACATTATGTTCTATACTCAATTGTCTTCTTGAATCTTTGTGATGAGAAAACATCTATTTTGAGTTGCTGCCTAGGCATTTTATACTACGGCAACCCTGCTCATACCCAGAATCTGGACATTTAAATTTATTCATTTATTTTGAGAGTTGGGGCAGGGGGATGGACAGAGAGAGAGAATCCCAAGTATGCTCCATGCTGTCAGCCTGGAGCCTGACACAGGATCAATCTCACAAACCATGAGATCATGACCTGATCCAAAATCAAGAGTCAGACGCTTAACTTACTGAGCCATCTAGGCACCCCAGGTCTGGATATTTAGATAAGGACCCAAGCTTAGGATTTCTACCAGAAGTTCCTGCTTTGCTTTTCCCACAGCATCTTTTCAAATAACCACTTAGAATTGAGCCCACAAAAAAGTTAGTGATCTCCATCCCAACCACCTCATAAGTAACAAGTACTTGTGACCTTGCTTTTTATCTCCTGCTAGCTTGTGACCTAGGATGGAGGACTGACATTCCCCCAGCTCATTCTACTTCCCTGTTCTGGGATTTGTAAGTAAATGAATCTTGTGACTTTATTTCTTTTGTGTGAACGTATTAAACTGCACCTGCAAATCAAAACAACCCCAGGGTTTTCACTTTTGCAAAATAGAAGCTTGTATGCTGAGGGAGCTACCTGTTGACCTTGTGTGGGTGGTTCATGCCTCTTCGTTTATCAGGTCATAATCCACATATTCTTTTTATTTTTTTTAAATTTGTTTAGTGTTTATTTACTTTAAGACAGAGAGAGAGAGACAGAACATGAGTGGAGGAGGGGCAGAGAGGGATGGAGACACAGTATCCGAAGCAGGCTCCAGGCTCCGAGCTGTCAGCACATAGCCCGACGTGGGGCTCGAACTCATGACTCACGAGATCATGACCTGAGTCATGATACTTAACCAACTGAACCACCCAGGCACCCCTGCATATTCTTAATTTAATACACCAACTATGGGTCTCCTTCAACAGAATCTGGTACAGGCATAGAAAACTATGATATGGAAAAGATGAACTTCTGACATGAAGAAATGTCCACATTACAGATAGAAATAGTCATAACATTAGATTGTGTCATAAAAAATGCCAATATTTGACAATGTTTGCTTTACAAAAACAGCAATTTTTTATGTTCAATTTAGTATATGGGCTGTGACATTCATGATTTATTAACTGTACAAGAGTTGATGGTCACTTTACAGAAATGAACAGAAACCATACAATTCAGAAAACCGTAGCATATAAGTAAGAAATTATGATGCATGAACCGATGATTCTGGGGCATGAGAAACATCTATAGTAGGAACAGTATTATATATGCTTGAACATCTACAGTTCTTTAGCATAATCTAATGTTGTATGATTACATGATAAATGTTAATGCTCAAATAATCATGATACAAAATTAACAATTGCTGTACAGGAACAAAGAGACTTGGTATCGTATATGAATGCCAAATTGCAAAAATAATCCATGGAATATGTGACAGAACTATGATGGATGCTCAGAAAACATAAGTGCATGAGCAATAATCCTGAGTATATGACAAGACAGCCATGCTGCATGAGCAAGGAGACTCAGTATGTGTGTTTCAACTACACTATCCTACTATATACTATGGGTTATGATTATGGTAGACAAGCATTTATTTTTAGTTCTCACACTATGAATAGATGCCAGTGATGCAGAAGCAAATGTCCATGATTTAGAAGCAGAAAACTATGATATATCATATGATGCATAAAAGACAATTTTATATGAACTTGGACTAAGGTACATGTTCACATAACTATGAGAAGATAGCCATCACCTATAGAAGAGATTAGACATAATATGTGTCCTCCAACTACCATAACATTTTGTTAATAAACATTATTATTATAATTCATGTGAATACATTTGTGCATAAAACCATTTGACCATAGTATGTGTCAGAAAACCATAGCACATGAGCCTAATAATCACTGAACAAGAGAACGGGGCCTTCATAAACACTTCCTTAAGACATTATACATGATCAAAAGCATGCCACTGGACTATTTCACAACAATGTGAATATAGTTAACACTAATAAACTGTACATTTAAAAGTGGTTAAGATTTGTGGCACCTGGGTGGCTCAGTTGGTTAAGTGTCCGACTTCAGCTCAGGTAATGATCTCATGGTTTATGAGTTTGAGTCCAGTGTTGGGCTCTATGCTGACAGCTCAGAGCCTGGAGACTGCTTCTAATTCTGTGTCTCCCTCTCTCTCTCTCTGCCCCGTCCTCACTCAGGCTCTCTCTCTCTCTCTGTCTCCCAAAAATAAATAAACATTAAAAAATTAAATAAAAATAAAAAATAAAAATGGTTAAGATTTGTTATGTGTTTTTTTTACCACAATTAATTTTAATTAAAAAAATGCTACTGGAACAGGTAGCCTTAGAAAGTTATCAAATATGTACAAAACCAGCCCCGGCCCTTGTATTTATATAGAAAAATGTGGCACATTAGCAGATATTAACATTAAATGAACATACATCCATGACACATGCTCAGATGACCATCAAACAAACACAAACAAGGACTGTAGGACATCAGACCCTTAAAATTCTTTTTTTTTTTAATTTTTTTTTCAACGTTTATTTATTTTTGGGACAGAGAGAGACAGAGCATGAACGGGGGAGGGGCAGAGAGAGAGGGAGACACAGAATCGGAAACAGGCTCCAGGCTCTGAGCCATCAGCCCAGAGCCCGACGCGGGGCTCGAACTCACGGACGGCGAGATCGTGACCTGGCTGAAGTCGGACGCTTAACCGACTGCGCCACCCAGGCGCCCCTAAAATTCTTATGACAAGCTTGGTGAATTTTCAAGTGACCATGGTGCATAAACTAAAAACTGTAACACTTAAAGAGCCTTCAGCTACAGCCTTTAGCTGGAGACAACTAAAGTATACCTAGATAACCATGATGTGTGTGAAGAGGTATTTTGTATAACAGTTCTTAACCATGATGTGTGCATACACAATCTGTGTATCATAGCAACCATGATCAGGAATTAAGTGACATGGTTTAGGAGCAGATGGCCATGCTAGCTAAGTGGACTGCATGGTGCAGAACAGAAGGCTATGGTGCAAAAGTAAACAGACATGCTCAATTTTTTTTTCACTAGAGTCAAGGGCTAAGACGCAGATGCAAGTGGCCACAATGAAGAACTGACATTTTTAGTTATCATGATCAATAGTGAATAAATAGCTATTTATAGCATATGAACAAAGAAATATAGCATATACAACCATAGTGAATAAAGTGAAAATTACAGCAAGGAAACATCACATAATAACATGGCTATTTAAACCACTATGCTGCATGAACAGAGTGTAAACCTAATACTAGTTTTAAAGTTAGTGTAAAGAAGCCAGGCCACATTGCAAAAGTACACAACCATGATGTATGCTTATATAAGTACAGCACATGGATAAACACCAATGACCTATGAACTTACAACCAATGAGCATATTCAGATAACCATGGGCTTAATAGCAGATGCCTGTAATAGGAGCAGACTGACTATGAAATAGGAGGGACAACCCGTGTGCAGGCTAAGATAATCTTGGTGTTAGAATGAGTTGTCTGTGGTACATGAACACACAATTTTGACACATGCTTAAGGCACCATAATACGTGATTGTACAGCCAAAATAGCAAACGGTTACTGAACCAATTGAGTCTGCTCAAGAGCTAAAGAGTACAAGTAACAAATCAGAGAAATACTATCTATAAGGTGATGACTTGTAAATTAATATCTCTATATCTGATATCTCTGCAATCCACATCTGTACTAAGATTAGTGAGAAGTATATTAAGCCTAACATGTTAAAATCTGAGGTCCAGATATTCATTTGCCTC